TTAGGAGAGGATGGTGAAGTCGAAATGAGGTTGATGGAAATCAATAACGGCACTTGGAAATCAGGCATCATCGTTAAGGGCTTCGACATTCGTCCTAACTAATTGGATAGATCTCTACCCAGTGGCCTTTATGTTTTCTGTTTTGCATCTTTGTTGTGTTTGTCTTTATCATTTTCTAATAAAATCACTCTTTCTCTATGAAAAGAGTGAGCTTGTTGTAAGTGCATGTGATATTATTTATGATCCATCTTTATTACCTTATTCTGAATTATAATAAAATATTTTACGATTTCTACTACTTAGATAATTGGTGTACTCTTGGATCAATAAAAGGCAAGAATATTATAAAATAAAAGAGGGAAACGCAAATTAAAAATGTTTGTCATGTGTCTTACTACAATAAGAAAATAACTATAAGCTTCAAATTCTGGCTCTATCCATACGTTTTTACATTGTGAAAATGAGTTCACAACTCGTATAATGTAACTGGACTTCAAATTTAACAAAATAAATAAATAAATTGAACCACACTTTTTTATTCAACACCCCTTGCAATTTCACCACAACAAAAGAGGCTTTTAGCGGCAATAAAAATCAGTTTTAGTGGCAACAATAATGGTCGCTAAAACAAAATAAACAACAATGATAACATAGAAGGAGACTTCACGGTTGCAGACGTTGTGCAACTATACCTCAAGTCTTCTCAACTAGTAAAATCTGGCCAATCTCACTCAGCGTTATTGGGACCTATTCCGGTATCTGCGCAAGAAGTTCAGAGTGTAGTATGAGTACAACCGATCATATGTAGTCTATAAATGCCAAGCCTAACCTTGACGAAGTAGTGGCGCGGCTAAGGCGAGCAACTTAGAATAACTTGTACACAACAAGAATAACAAGAAAATAGGACATGGAAGTAAAACAGCTAACTCATGAAAACGAAATCGAAATATAACTACCAAAGAGCCTAGAATAACAAGCCTCGTAACCTCGTTACAATACCGAGGCAAATCCAACAATCACAAACAAGTACCACATATACAATCCTTTCCGGCGTGCAACCCTATCCCACCATATCTTCATCTGTCAATATCATAATCCGTCCTTATTCTACCATTTAAATTCATTATCTTTCAATTTCCGTTGCGGCGTGCAACCCGCTCCCCAAATCATTTCAATCAACATAAACAATTCAATAACTAAATTTACAAGAATTTCTACATCAAGGGGTAAATTTATAACGCAATAAGGAACCATATAATAAATCAAGAATCTCAACATCTCGAAGTCTCAACTTTACCAATTCGTCGGTATCTATTAACTATACCACTCATGCAATGGAATTCATATTTATAGAATGCAACAAATATTACAAAACCATAAGGCAAGTAAAGCATGTGACAATTTAGGTATGCAAGTAAAGCAAGTAGAGGCAAGTAGCAACTAAGCATGAAGTCATGGAAGGGACATACAATTTAATACAAGAGTAATTAAATGACAAGTAACAATTACTACATAGAAGTGTCACGACCCCAAATTCAACTAGCCGTGATGTCACCTAATCCAACCCGTTAGGTAAGCTAATTTACAAATATCCGATTCAATTAATATTTAACTGAATCTAATACACTCTCCAATGACTGGTAGTACAATTCATGAGCTTCTAAGATTAGAATTTACAAAGCATGTGTGAAATAAAAATACGTCATCTGTTTGAAATATACATGAACAGATTAAAATTCTAAAGCTATCATGAACAAGAGACAGCTATGACTGGAACGCAGGTACATCTTCAGATCCAGCTCCCGCCATGTACAGTAGCATCAACATCCAAAATCTGAACGGAAGGTGCAAATGAGTAGTACGAGTACAATCTACCCCATGTACTCAATAAATAACAAACCTAACCTTAGGTTGAAAGTAGTGACGAGTTGGGACAGGGGTCACAGTCCAACTCTAATAACTAATAATATCTCATAACAATACAATTTAAAGCAACACAAGTAATAACTCAATAATAAAATGCCCAGCTTGTACAAAATTCCGGGAAAATAATAATTTTCTTTTCAATATAACAGTAAAACTCTAATCATTTGCCAAAAGTCACCGAAAATATGAGTAAGTCTGAAACGTGTAATATTTCACAAAAACATTAACGACATATAAGAAATCATATTATTAGATGACATGAGGAAAAATACTTCTCTATGCCTATATATCAAGTATGCATGTCTAATGCAATGCAGCATAATGATAAACTCATGTACTCACACTCTGAGAGTACTTAATCTCACAGTACTGTATATAGCCAATCAGCCTAGGGAAGATCCATCACAAATATATATACAAAGTAACTTACATTCATTCTCTCAGTACTGTACAAGGCCAATCCAGCCCAGGGAACTCCATCCCAAATATAAATAAATAAGACAACTCCATGCCCAGAGAACTCCATCCCAAATATAAATAAATATGTCAACTCCATGCCAAGGGAACTCCATCCCAAATATAAATAAATAAGGCAACTTCATTCTGAGGGAACTCCATCCCAAATATAATATCCATTGCGCGCACTGTGGGGGATTGTAGTGACTGTTAATTATTATTCGAACAGTATTGTATATTCAATCCTTGAGATCATTTCATGTATTCAGTTAGAGTTCATGACCCAGTATTACCAGTCTTGGGAGGTTGTTATAATTATTTCCGTTGTTGGTTTCGATTATCTATATAAAACAAATGGATTGATATGTTATTAAAATCGGCTTACATAGTCTTAGAGACTAAGTGTCATCACGATGCCTGTGGTGGAATTTTGGGTGGTGACAGTAATATTGCGAATCACGAGTGAGATTAGTGTCATGAGGTTAAACTTGGGGTGCACTCTCTCAAAATTTCAAGAAGTTAGAGATTATTTAAACCTTGGTAGTTGCAATACTAGTGAAGTTTCCCTTTAATAACAACACTTTTGTTATTTGACATTTAGACTGGAAAATCAGTCATAAGTCGACACAGGATTAAAAAAAATAGATACCTAATAGATGCCATAACACACACCTCAAACAAAATCCAAACAAAAAATGTACAAAACAATGTACAGACCTTAATTTGAGGTTGCCGTTTTCCTTTTTAAGTTGCAATTCAAGTTGCTTATCAACAATATAGCCACCATAAAAATACATGAAATCTCGAACCAAAATGACGCAAAAATACTATTCTTAAGACGAAGATAAGTATTAAAACCTGAATTTGACTAAAATATTTATAACGCACGAAAGCATTTGCCCAACTTATCATACATAATGCATGAAATACATGCGTTATGCAAATTTTTCATAAAATTCAAATGAAAATCGACTTTCTACCGTCATCGCAAGTAGAAGCACTTAATTGTATGTTATTACAAGTTTAAAGATAAATTGATCAACTTCGAATAACAAAAAAATAAATTTAATGCGTTCAAACAATAAGACAAAAATTAATTCTTGTGAAAGACGATTGGTCCAAATGGTCCCAAATGTACACCGTAGTCTATTTCCAGACGGCATAACCAAATAAGGGTCCGTTTATACTCAACAAACTCGTTTTTTTCATTCAAGAGCAAGAGCATTAACTCACTCTTGTTATGTCAATATCTCTCTATTGAGTGCACGTATATTTTTCATATCTAGACTATCCTAAATATTTATTTTAATTTAAAAAATTAATGGGTTCAAATGAACTCCTAGTCTATTATAAACTTTGTCTGCCGCTGATATTTGTATAAATTTTTGTGATTTCTAATTGTATGTTTATGTGTCGTGTCAAAACAATGAGTGGATTGTTCAATTACAAAACAAAGCAAAATGACTTTTTAAACTAATTTCCATTAGCCCAGTGACCTTATGAGAAATCAACTCTGTTAAAACTGCTCTTTGCTTCGGTCCGATGAAGGATGACTAACCAAAGAAATTCACATTTCGGGAAGATTATCTAAATTATATATGTGTACTGAATATAGGTTACTCGTGAATTAGATCTCTTGGTTGCATTAGTATTTTTACATTTTCCAAGTTGTTGGAGACTTGCAGTGTTTGAGCATTTGGACTCAAAGTTTATCAAATTCAAGTGAAAATTACTTATCTCCAAGATTATAGTAAAATCCATCTTAAAAATTTCTCCTCTCGTTCTCCTAAACTCAAATTTTGGAATTTTATTTAGCTAAGTCTCGAAATAGAACTTAAAATAACCCTTCCAGTGAAACAATTTGCAAACGCGACCCAGCCTTCGCATTCGCGAAACACAAAACTGCCATAGCCCGTAATCCATTATCGCGCACCCGACAGGAGTCACGCGATCGCTAAGGCCTTTGTCTCGCCTTCATCGCGAACGCGACCAGCTCCTCCGCGAACGCGAAGGCTAAGGACCCAGCCCCTTCCGTGAATGCAACTCCGATTCCCCTTCGGGAACGCGAAGGCCACACTTTCAGGCCACACTCCCTTCTTCGCGAACATGCTACGGGTGGTCCGAAACTCACCTGGGACCCGTTCAATCGAGCAACAAATTCATAAACACTAGCTGGAACTATCCAAGGCATCTAGACACATACGAAATCACCACATCTAAGAATCAAGGGCCAAAATCAACAGCGGGGCTACTAACATCCTATAGATATACACCTACTATATCTCAAAGGTTAACTTCTTGTTATATATTCTGGGACGTGAGGGGCTAGGGATCGTTGAAAAAAAGATGGTTTTGTAGTTAATCTTTTAAACAATACCCATTTTATTTGATCTAGTTTGCCGATGCGTTTTAAGCTTTTGTGTCTGGTAATATGGGTCTTAAGATGGGTCACACGGGCGCCAACTAAGTTGGTTTATTTTGTATTTACCCTTTTGTCCCAAAAAATACAATAGTGACTAAATAATATATGTGCAACTTGACATCTCTTTTCAAGAATATCCAAATGGTCCTAAAAAGACAACCTTATCTGTTTCAACAATGGCAGAATGAGCCCTATTACAAAGGGTTTGCCAATAGACACGTTTTTAACATTCAAGTAAAAAAATTGTTCTTGTTAACACACCTACTATAGTACTATGGTGACAAATTTTGGAGTCCAGTAAATGCTCTATAAATATCAGGACGAAGCAAAAGGGAGTAGAGCCAACTAAAAAGATATAAAGAGCGAGCATCATATCATATATAGCAATACAAGAAAGATGGTGAGTTATTCTTCTCGTTGATATATTCTTACTCTTTCTTTCTTACGTAACAACTGATCAAGTGTTAATATATTGTATTTAATCAGCAAGGCCAGTGGATAGCCGCAAGAGACCTTTCAATTACATGGGTGGACAATCCTCAGTACTGGACATGGAAAACTGTTGATCCTAAGTCTGTCTCTCTCTAACTATCTCTCTCTAAATTTCATTAAAATGAGAAATATATTTTAATCCGATCTCAACATTTTGTACTACAGTATTGAAGTGGCGGAGCTTCGTAGGGTAGCTTGGCTTGACATTTATGGAAAGATCGAGACAAAAAATCTTATTCGAAAGACTAGTTATGCTGTATATTTAGTGTTCAAGTTAACAGATAACCCTCGTGAACTTGAACGAGCCACAGCATCGCTAAGATTTGTGAACGAAGTGGCGGAGGGCGCTGGCATTGAGGGTACCACTGTTTTCATCTCGAAGAAAAAGGAATTACCAGGAGAACTTGGCCGGTTCCCACATCTCCGAAGTGATGGCTGGTTAGAAATCAAGCTTGGTGAGTTTTTCAACAACTTAGGAGAGGATGGTGAAGTCGAAATGAGGTTGATGGAAATCAATGACAAAACTTGGAAATCTGGCATCATTGTTAAGGGCTTCGACATTCGTCCAAACTAATTGGATAGATCTCTACCCAGTGGCCTTTATGTTTTCTATTTTGCATCTTTGTTGTGTTTGTCTTTATGATTTTCTAATAAAATCACTCTTTCTCTATGATAAGAGTGAGCTTGTTGTAAGTGCATGTGATCTTATTTATGATCCATCTTTATTACCTTATTCTGAATTATAATAAAAGATTCTACGATTTCTACTACTTAGATAATTGGTGTACTCTTGGATCAATAAAAATCTAGAATATTATAACAAATAAAAGAGGAAAATGCAAATTAAAAATGTTTTTGTCATGTGTCTTACTACAATAAGAAAATAACTTATAAGCTTCAAATTCTAGCTCTATCCATACATTCTTACATTATAAAAATGAGTTCACAACTCTTATAAAGTAAACTGAACTTCACATTTAACAAAATAAATAAATAGAACCACACTTTTTTATTCAACACCCCTTGCAATTTCACCACAACAAAAAAGGCTTTTAGCGGCAATAAAAATGAGTTTTAGTGGCAATAATAATGATCGCTAAAACAAAATAAACAACAATGATAACATAGAAGGAGACTTCAGGGTTGCGGACGTTGTGCAGCTATACCTCAAGTCTTCTCAAGTAGTAAAATCTGGCCAATCTCACTCAGCGCTGTTGGGACCTATTCCGGTATCTGCACAAGAAGTGGAGAGTGTAGTATGAGTACAACCGAACCTATGTACTCTACAAGTGCCGAGCCTAACCTTGACGAAGTAGTGGCACGGCTAAGGCGAGCCACTTAGAATAACTTGTATACAACAATAATAACAAGAAAATAGGACATGGAAGTAAAGCAGCTAACTCATGAAAACGAAATCGAAATATAACTACCAAAGAGCCTAGAATAACAAGCCTCATAACCTCGTTAGAATACCGAGGCAAGTCCAACAATCACAAACAAGTACCACATATACAATCCGTTGTAGCGTGCAACCCGATCCCACCATATCTTCATCTGTCAATATCATAATCCGTCCTTATTCCACCATTTTAATTCATTATCTTTCAATTTCCGTTGCGGCGTGCAACCCGCTCCCCAAACCATTTCAATCAACATAAACAATCCAATAACTAAATTTACAAGAATTTTTACATCAAGGGGGTAAATTTATAACGCATTAAGGAACCATATAATAAATCAAGAATCTCAACATCTCGAAGTCTCAACTTTACCAATTCGCCGGTATCTATCAACTATACAACTCATGCAATGGAATTCACATTTATAGAATGCAACAAATATTACAAAACATTAAGGCAAGTAAAGCATGTGACAATTTAGGTATGCAAGTAAAGCAAGTAGAGGCAAGTAGCAACTAAGCATGAAGTCATGGAAGGGAGAGACAATTTAATACAAGAGTAATTAAATGACAAATAACAATTACTACATAGAAGTGTCACGACCCCAAATTCAACTAGCCGTGATGCCACCTAACCCAACTCGTTAGGTAAGCTAATTTATAAATATCCTATTCAATTAATATTTAACTTAATCCAATACACTCCCTAATAACTTGTAGTACAATTCATGAGCTTCTAAGATTAGAATTTACAAAGCACGTGTGAAATAAATATACGTCATCTGTTTGAAATATACATGAACAGATTAAAATACTAAAGCTACCATGAACAAGAGGCAGCTATGACTGGAACATAGGTACATCTTCAGATTCAGCTCTCGCCATGTACAGTAGCATCAACATCCAAAATCTGCACGGAAGGTGCAAATGTGTAGTATGAGTACAATCTATCCCGTGTACTCAATAAATAACAAATCTAACCTTAGGTTGAAAGTAGTAACGAGTTGGGACAGGGGTCAGAGTCCAACTCTAATAACATCTCATAACAATATAATTTAAAGCAGCACAGGTAATAACTCAATAATAAAATGCTCAGCTCGTACAGAAAGTCACCGAAAATATGAGTAAGTCTGAAACCTGTAATATTTCACAAAAACTTTAACGACATATAAGAAATCATATTATTAGATGACATGAGGAAAAATACTTCTTTATGCCTATATATCAAGTATGCATGTCTAATGCAATGCAGCACAATGATGAACTCATGTACTCACACTCTCAGAGTACTCGATCTCACAGTACTGTATATAGCCAATCAGCCCAGGGAAGATCCATCACAAATATATATACAAAGTAACTGACATTCATTCACTCAGTACTGTACATGGAACTCCATCCAAAATATAAATAAATAAGGCAACTCTATGCCGAGAGAACTCCATCCCAAATATAAAGAAATAACGTAACTTCATTCCGAGGGAACTCCATCCCAAATATAAATAAATACGACAACTTCATGCCTAGGGAACTCCATCCCAAATATAATATCCATTGCGCGCACTGTGGGGAGTTGTAGTGTCTGTTAATTATTATTCGAACAGTCTTGTATATTCAATCCTTGAGATCATTTAATGTATTCAGTTAGAGTTCATGACCCAGTATTACCAGTCTTGGGAGGTTGTTATAATTATTTCCGTTGTTGATTTCGATTATCTATATAAAACAAATGACTTGATATGTTATTAAAATCGGCTTACCTAATCTTATAGATTAAGTACCATCACAATGCCTGTTGTGGGATTTTGGGTGGTGACAGAAATATTGCGAATCACAAGTGAGATTAGTGTCATGAGGTTAAACTTGGGGTGCGCTCTCTAAAAATTTCAAGAAGTCAGAGATTATTTAAACCTTGGTAGTTGCCATACTAGTGAAGTTTCCCTTTAATAACAACACTTTTGTTATTTGACATTTAGACTGGCAAATCAGTCATAAGTCGACACAGGATTAAAAAAAATAGATACCTAATAGATGCCATAACACACACCTCAAACAAAACCCAAACAAAAAATGTACAGACCTTAATTTGAGGTTGCCGTTTTCTTTTTAAGTTGCAAGTCACTAGCCACCATAAAAATACATGAAAACTCGAACCATAATGACGCAAAAATACTATTCTTAAGACGAAAATAAGTATTAAAACCTGAATGTGACTAAAATATTTATAACGCACGAAAGCATTTGCCCAACTCATCATACATAATGCATGAAATACATGAGTTATGCAAACTTTTCATAAAATTCAAATAAAAATCGACTTTCTACCGTCATTGCAAGTAGAAGCACTTAATTGTATGTTATTACAAGTTTAAAGATAAATTGCTCAACTTCGAATAACAAAAAAATAAATTTAATGCGTTCAAACAATAAGACAAAAATTAATGTTCGTGAAAGACGAGTGGTCCAAATGGTCCCAAATGTACGCCGTAGTCTATTTCCAGATGGCATAACCAAATAAGGGTCCGTTTATGCTCAACAAACTCGTTTTTTTCATTCAAGAGCAAGAGCATTAACTCACTCTTGTTATGTCAATATCTATCTATTGAGTGCACGTATATTTTTCATATCTAGACTATCCTAAATATTTATTTTAATTTAAAAAATTAATGGGTTCAAATGAACTCCTAGTCTATTATANAGGTTCAAATGAACTCCTAGTTTATTATAAACTTTGTCTGCCGCTGATATTTGTATAAAGTTTTGTGATTTCTCATTGTATGTTTATGTGTCGTTTCAAAATATTGAGTGGATTGTTCAATTACAAAATAAAGCAAAGTGACTTTTTAAACTAATTTCCATTAGCCTAGTGACCTTATGAGAAATCAACTCCGTTAAAACTGCTCTTTGCTTCGGTCCGATGAAGGATGACTAACCAAAGAAATTCACATCCCGGGAAGATTATTTAAATTATATGTGTACTGAATCTAGGTTACTCGTGAATTAGATCTCGCGGTTGCATTAGTATTTTTGCATTTTCCAAGTTGTTGGAGACTTGCAGTTTTTGAGCATTTGGACTCAAAGTTTATCAACTCCAAGTGAAAGTTACTTATCTCCAAAATTATAGTAAAATCCATCTTAAAAATTTCTCCTCTCATTCTCGTAAACTCAAATTTTTGAATTTTATTTAGCTAAGTCCCGAAATAGAACTTAAAATAACCCTTCCAGTGAGACAATTTGCAAATGCGACCCAACCTTCACATTCGCGAAACATAAAACTGACATAGCCCGTAATCCATTATCGCGAACCCGGCAGGAGTCACGCGATCGCGATGGCCTCTATCTCGCCTTCATCGCGAACACGACTAGCTCCTCCGTGAACGCGAAGGCTAATGACCCAGTATAATGACCCGGCCGGTCGTTTCGAGAGTTATAGTCCCGTTTTTCCTATTTCTACTTCTTTTGTGTTATGCAACTTTATTATGTTATATCGGGTTAGTTCGTTCGGGTCCGGGAGGAACTCAGAGTGAAATAAGACACTTAGTCTCATAATTAAAAAATTAAGTTAGAAAAGTGGACCGGATATGGACCTATGTGTAAACGACCTCGGATTTGAATTTTGATAATTCTAATAGCTCCGTATGGTAATTTTGGGCTTAGGAGCGTGTCCAAAATATTATTTGGAGGTCCGTAGAGTAATTAGGCTTGAAATGCCGAAAGTTTAATTTTTGAGAAGTTTGATCAGGGGTTGACTTTTTGATATCGGGGTCGGAATCCGATTTTGAAAATTGGAATACCTCTATTATGTCATTTATGACTTGTATATAAAATTTAAGGTCAATCGGACGTGATTTGGTAGGTTCCGGAGTCGTTTGTAGAATTAGAAATTTCAAAGTTCATTAGGCTTGAATTGGGGTGTAATTCATGGTTTTAACGTTGTTTGAGGTGATTTGAGGGTTCAACTAAGTCCGTATGATATTTTAGGACTTGTTGGTATATTTGCTTGAGGTCCCGAGGGGCTCGGGTGAGTTTCATATGGTTAAAGAGTTGGATATTGGACTTGAAACTCTGCTGGAATTTTTCTGATACACCATCTGGTTTCCTTCATCGCGTTCGCGAGTGGAGTCTCGCGTTCGCGAAGAGGAACTGAGAGGCTAACAATATTTTCTCTTAGCGTTCGCGAATAGAAGCATGTGTTCGCGAAGGGTAGACTGGGTGTGCATCGCGAACGTGAGAGGTGTTACACGTTTGAGAAGAAGAGAGGAAGCAGCGGAAGACCACAGACAATTGGAGTACGCGTTCGCGTATGGGGGTGTCGCGTTCGCGTAGTGAGGGGGAAACGAAGCATCGCGTTCGTGATGGGTTGAACGCGTTCGTA